ACTTTAATATGAGTAAATCTTTGAATCAGTCATATCAAAACGCAACCAAATGAAAATTCTTATATGTAGACCCTATTTACGGTCGATAATTCGTTACATTATATACACCGATGAACAAGTCGTTATGGAGGTAAGGAACTACTTTACTACGTCTAGTTTGGATAACGTAAGTTTTCATGTAAAATTGTTCAAGATATAGTGATTGCAAACTAATTCTTAAACTTCAAATACCCATTCATCGGTTGCATCCCTGCTGCATGAAGTTCGCTGAGGTGGGAAATGAGGGTTTTAAGGCTACATAAGTATTAATGTTTGTAACGTACATTTTGTTATTGATTGTGCGAATTTACAAAATCTAACATTGAAAAAAATATCCCCGATTTGCTGAAAACAGCAGATTATTGTAACTTGCATCTTTTAGAGATATGAAATTAACATTTTATGGTACAGTACTTGATGCCAGGCGATAGGCTTTCGCTCCGGTCCGATCAGTCAGAGTATCGAGGAACCGAACCACATCTGTATCGTTGTCTCCCGAACAATACTGAACCATGCTGTCATAGAAGACAACATTGCAACCAAAATGGAGCAGACACAAACCCAAACACGTATAGAAGTTACTTGCGTTGCCATGGAAACTTCCAGGAGATGGGATCCTTCCGGAATACCCGGGAAACACGTTGAAACTGGACTGGACAACAACGTTATCTACAAACAAAATTTCCAGTTATAATTTTCCTAGTTCTGTTTTCAAAAAGTTAATTACTACCATCCTTCACTGGCATGTATATGATTAAAAAGCCCAATATATCTCACATCGCTCTGAACTTAAACGAGAGAATGTTGGCCTCGACATTTTGACAGCTACAGACATATAAAGGCGAAATTATTGAAATACATGAATAATAGCCATAAACATTACAACATATTTTATATATTGATGATGTCTTGCCTTTAAATAACAAGCAGTTAAATGACTATGTTTATCGTGTATAACCAACAGAAAAAGAAATCAAGGACACAACAGACTCCTCTAAATCAGTTACGTTATACGATAATTTCCTACATCGAAAATGACAAGTACAGCTTCCCATCAAGCAGTATCATAAGCGTAGTGAAGTCTCTAAGTCTTATATCGAATACATAAAATTGTGATAACAGTACATAGAACATTACCATCACCATGATGTTATTATACGGTCTGCTCATGCAATATTTTTAGAACGCTGAATTCATAATTAAAAAGAAAATACCGACATTAATAGTAACAAAACCCCAAAAATATGAGAATATGTCCGATCCTGATGGTTCAACGTATTCAGTTTCATAGATACAGTTGAGATCAACAGTGAGTTTAACTACATCATACAGCTGCTTCGTCCCTTTAGACGGTAATGGCCTAAATTGTGAAGCATATAAGGCTAATTGCAATAACACAACACGCAGTACAGAAGCCAGATACATAAACACAAGAACAATTATAACACAGAAAGTTGAATATATCTTCGACCAGAAAATTATTAGAATACCTGGTCTTATTCTTGTTGATTTTTTTTCCATATTTTGCGATATTAAAGAAAAATAAATATGTTTCAATTGACATTCTGTTAATATGTTGGTATTTTCCTTGTTCTCTTTGTAAGTCTCCTTAGATATCAAAATGCAAATAAGATTTGGAAAAGTAGGATTTCCTTAAATGATACAACACGGTTAATTATTACTTTTCAGTTATAATGTTGTTGTTAATTACTTGTTAGTTCCATGGATACCGCTCACGATGATCAATGTCCAGTGATGACCAGTATGATGAACAGTTTTCCTCAGTTAGTAACACAGTGCAACGATAAATCTGACTTGTTCGGCGTCTACTGTTTACTGATAAAAGATATATATGTATATATTTATATATGTACTTATGTATTATGTATAGCAGGAAGACCTAATTATACGCTTGAACATGTTTATCGATTTGTAATCGAGAGTAATTGGTGGTATATTAACGGTGTGCTCCGTTAGTTGTGTCTTCCACCTGTAATCTAGAAGAATAACCTCATTTACATATGTAAATCGGCTTTCTGATATTACATTTAGGTAAGTAATGTTTAATCACTGACAATTACGACTTGTTTTCATTATAATCAAATGCCTAATCCTTGGTACCCTCGCTTTATGCTCATAATTGAGTGTTTCTTATTGTTGTTTCTTTCATTTTTACGATTGTATTGAAAATCAATATTTTTAATAGAAGCAAAAATATCCTCTAACGGTGCATAAATGCTTCCTTTTTATTTGGAGCTGTTGAAATCCTTCATCCATGACATTTTTGTGGTCATTTGACCACTTACTTTTAGTTTTCACTAACCCTTCATGTCTTCTCCTGTGGAGTTGTAATTGTTTACCATATAATTTTCCCTATTTAAGCAGATTTTTATATCGCTATCAAGAGAACATTTCAAATCATTTCTAATGGAATGGGCACCAATTAAATTGCAGGTAAAGTATTTCACAGGCGGGCATACCGAAAAAAACAAAACTCATTCATAATAGTGAAACTAATTAACCAACAGCAGATTTGGATCTTACGGGAAATATATAACTAAGAGGTGGTAACGGTGATATTACCAACCTTTTATACAATCTTTTCAATAATTATGATCCTTAGCATCACCACTTGTCACATACCATGGTCAAGTGATAAATAAGCGGTTTGAAACACCTCTTTTTCTTCAAGATAACTTTGATAGGTAAGTTACGCATGCGGGAACAGGCTGGAGTGATAGTCATTTGGAAGCGCAAACAGGTGATTGCGTAAGTTAAGACCTATGATAAGTTACATGATAATATTATTTATGAACGTAGTGTTTGTGTTTTGTTTATTTATACATGTTCGACGTGTATATATGAGTGTATGTGGCCGGGAAGAATGTAAAAAAAATATATTGTTAGATTTGCTGTGTAAGGTGTTAGGCAAAGACACTTAAATGTGCTGTATAGAAGTTTGGGTTTATGTCATATTAAATTCATAGTTGGCTTAGATTTATATAATTTATGCTACCGATATAGACAACCAATTAATTTAAGCGTATGTATATTGTCGCTTTCCATCTTTGGGCTCACAACGTTTATGGTTGACTTTAGATCAGATGCGTGTTGTCTTACAGATGTCAATACCAAAATTACACTTACCACCAGTCATCGTCCGATGATATACTCACCTGAACCTGTGTAGATTGGACTCGAGTGTGTGTGGCTCTTGCTGTATTTGTTAACGTATCAGAGAACCACATACTCACCTTCTCTGACTGACCAACGTCGTAATTGGTTTTCTTTTTGCCTGAGAGCGACTAGTCTTTGTGACCATCATACACCTTTCGCTGGCCTGTGTGACCAACTCATATCTTTTATTGGACTGTGTGGCCAATAGGAAATATCTAATGATTGGAAGAGATGATGTTGGACGAGAGCATCTGTGAGTTCCAGGCTCTATATATGCGTACCATGCCATACGTGATGATGCCTTAAGCCCATTGGAAGTTGCAGTGACTTTTTGCGTACTTTTAGTGTTTACAAATTCATTTACCTAATTGTATCAGTGACTTATCGAGAGATAGAAGGGAAAGAGAGAACCATCTCGCATGTGTGTTTTGTTAAGTTAATGTGTAGACTGTAATTATGACGTTTTGTAATTAAATTTTATATTTTAAGGGTAAACTGTCAAGCAATCTCGGTCGGTTCTCTGTACACTGATCAGTCTTAAAAGGACGTAACAACTGTATGGTGCGGATTAATTCATTCTTTATATTCTTGGTTTTGAAAGTTTGCCTTTCTTTATTTCGGAACATTTCCTTCAGGCTGCTAATGCCAATATAACATAACAAGTAGATCAGAGATTGACGTTTCGATGAGTATATGGTCACCTTCATCATTATTGTACAACCGAAAAAGTTGATCGATCCTTACCATCTGGTACACTGGTACGTAAGACAGTGCTAGTATGCTCAACATTGGTCATTCGTCTGATGAAGCTGACCATGTAGTCATCGAAACAACAACTCCTGAACTTTTTTCGATAGCTTAAGTTCATATTTATTTTCATTTTTATATTCAACTTTATATAAAGCTTCACTTTATTTAACATATCGGTATTGAAAAACAAATAATGTAAAACGACACAGCTAAATAAACAAAACAAGGAAAAGGTTAGGAGATTGAACACAAAGGAAAAGTCTCGATCACTTTACATAACGTAATTTAAGTATCTTAATAAAAAATATTTCTCCTGCTCTTTTCACCTTCTCTTCTGAAAGTAAAATATGGTTGCACCAATGATTTGTCACTTTATTACAAATAACAAAAGCGAAGAAATCGTACCAAATAAGGCATTTATTTAGAAATACAATTACGGCATCTAAAAATATTTTTGTTTGAATGTCTGTAGCAACAGGTGAAATATGATGTGCTGCTGTCAATCACTCAGCTTCTGGATCAATCTAAGTGGCCTTGTCGTCTAGTGGGTATAGTAGTAGGACGCCATGCTTTTTTGTAATTGTATAAAGTTTGTGAGGATTCTGTCTGATTATTGATTAAACATGTATACGTCTTTATGTTCTACATCTACAGTTTTTACCTGGGCTTTGATAGTAACTATTGTGATATCTAAATTCTTTTGCAAATGAAGACATTTTTATCGTTTGAGTTATTTTTGTTTTTCAATTTTCAATTTACAATTTACAGACATAGCTATAAAACAGTGATAATTGTATATTTGCTTTTATTCCCCTGTAGTATAATAAATATGTATATATAATCATTTCCTCTTAGGGCTGGTTGTTTGGTCTATAAAGATAGTGGACATGGACACAGATGGTTTATTTTGCCATTTCTCATTTGTTTCGAAATTATTTAATTGATCTTTATAAATGAAGAATGACAATAATAAGTATACAAACTCATATTCTGGTTAATTGGAGTAAAATATTCTTATTTTTGTTTCAGAAAGATATAGAAAAAATAATAAAAGTACAATTGCTCTTTACAGCAGTTTTTCAACGTTTAACATTGAAGAAACATGTTATAATCATTACAATAGACGAAATCTCTACTTTCAGAAAACGAGTTCTGTCAAAGAAACGTTTTCTGTTCAAGGGGAGTATTTTTACACTCCTCCGACTCGTCTGAGTAAGAAACGGTCTTCACAAGAACATTCGGGTCCTCTTTACATCTGTAAACAAATTAAAACAACTATATAATGCAGCATTAACCTATATGAACTTTTTAATAACAAATTTATTTCAAATTTGATACAACATTTACATATCTTTAATGATGATTTCGTGTAAATTTAATACCACCATGACATCATGACAAATTCAAAAAGCTTTTAAAGTTGGAAATATAATCTTGGATTTGTCTAATTTTTAGACATATATATGAGGATTTGTTCTCATCATCATAAAAAATCAGATGTAGGCCCTACACACATGCATTTTTCATGCCCAAATTTTCATCATCTTAGAATGTAAAAGCCGAAGATTTTGGAACATTTTCCATAATAGTCGACAGGGAAAACAACCTTTTAGACGGTTGGTTAAGGAAGCCGTCTGTATACGCCGCAGCGGGCCAGTACTTAATAGGGACGATTGGGGTAGGGGGAGGGGGCACATACCCTCGCACGTCTATAACCAAGTGATAAACAAAACGTAGCCGAATTGACAGTACATGTTCACTATATGGTTTATTTTTTTCTATAATCTGTTTACCATCTCGTCACACTATTTTTGATCTTAGTGTACATAGGATTATAGTGCAGCCGAAAACAATGGTCGATTCTGTACCATCTCATAAACTACACACATCAGTGCTAGAACGCTCCATAACATCTAAAATCTTACCGGCTTGTCTATCATGAAATAAATATAAGCCAGTTAACCACGCGGGCCCTGCTAAGAATCGATATTTCTGATCGGTTATTGTGATGACAGAAATACATTGAGATTGTTATTCCGCTATCGCTTAAATGTATTTTGATTTGTGCAAGAGATATCAGACACAGTTTTTAAAATACATACGTTCCAAATCTTGCCCCTTCATCTATTGTGTCTGGTAGTCGTTTGTTTACAGTCTCTGGTAGGAACAGTGTAAAAAGGCCGGCTGTGACACTGATACAGCCAAAGATCACCAGCGGAAGTGCTTGACCGTAATGGCTGCCCACCAAAGTGCCCTGAGAGCGGAAGAAAAAACAGAACAAATCATTACATCTGTAGAATATAGGCTAAAGTAAATCATATGTTTCAAAATTGATATAATATCCATGGAGAAATCATATGTTTCAATATCTATCATATTTTTTAGTAAAAACAAAATGGGAAAAATTCTTTATTTGCTACCGTTAAAGGGAATATTTCAGTTTCATTTGTATATAGACGACATGTAAATACATTGGGGATCCATATTATTAAAACTGAAAGAATAATTCATTAACCTCTTACCAGTATGACATTTTCACATTGAAATCTTGCATGTTATCGACTACGATCTACGGTCTACGGATTTGCTGCATACATATTTTTTTCATGAAAAACTTGACGAAAGGCAGTTTCCAGTTACCGGAAGGTATATAATTAATATTGTCCTACTTTTTATTTGAGAAACATTTTTGCTATCATACTCTGTAAAAAGTTTGACATCGTTAAATACTCGTTAATCAATTTCTTCCTAATTACTAGTATATTAATCACTATAAACAGACTAAATTAATGAGCACAAATAATGTTCATATATACAGATGAAGACATGCCCTTTCACTTTTAATCGGGGGAAAGAGCCAAGACCTGACTGGTGAAATCAAAATTCTCTTCTGTTTAATTTATAGAGTTTTAATTAATTGTTAAACGAAAATAATCATTGTATGGTGTATTTCATTGAATTTGATTGAATTGATGTGCATCAATTATGGAGAAAAATATACTTTTGCCATTGTTTTGACAAGTAAATACGTATCATATGTCAATAAACTTTAGTTTAATATTTCACCATCCTGTTTCTTTGGTTTGAAGGGGAACACAAATAAACAAGAGGTGTGGGAGCAAGGGGGATCGGCAAAACCTATTCTCGGCCCACATCGGCTGTCAAGCTTAGCACTATACCATGGCACTGATAGAGTGAAACAAAGGGAAGTAACTCTGGAAGATCAGAATGACAAAACCATGAATGCTTCAGACTAAATTGTGACAGAATTTAACCATTCCTACATTAGAATGATTTAAAGAATTTGTTATTTTCCCTGTAATGGGTCCTGCCCCGGAATGCCGACACAACACGTATCAAACATTACCAAATTTTGACAAAAACGAATAATTCCCACAGGATTAGTAGCATTTTTTAAAGGATTTGCAGTATTTTCCCCATTGGGTCTTTCGGACAACAAGGCTGAATTTGATTACGATCACATTACGGTCGTTACGCAATCAGTTCGTTTTTATGCTTTGTTTGATAACTTACCAATTTCGCAATATATGGTGCCGACATGCCTCCGATACGTGCCACACACGAGCTAGCACCCATCCCGCCTGTGCGGACCACTGTCGGGAACAACTCACTAGAGAAAATGTATATTGCTACAAAGGCTCCTTTGGATCCTAACTTCCCGATACAACAAAGAGCTATGGTGAATGGTTCAAAGTCTGCAAGTATATACAGCATAGAGAAATGGTGAATGGTTTAAAGTCTGCAGGTAGTTACAGCATAGAGAAATGGTGAATTGTTCAAAGTCTGCAGGTAGTTACATCATAGAGAAATGGTCAATGATTCAAAGTCCTTAGGCAGATACAGCATAGAGCAACGATGAATGAACCAATGTCAACAAGAAGATGTAGCATAGGGCAATAGCTAATGCGTAAACAGTATCATTTATGACAGATAACTGTATCTAAATTAAATAAGAAAAAATCTAGTTATCCTTCCTACAGGTGGCTTCGAGTTCTATCCCAGAGGTAATCTTCAGTGATTTTATTTTTCCACTTTGTATTGTATAGTCTTTTTTGTCGAGAGGTTCTATTTTAAGTATTTGCGAGGAGGAAATAAAATCGGGAAAAAATGTAAAAGGTACTGATCAATTCATGCCTTCTGTGAAAATTTGATTAGCTTCTTTTAGGATGACCCGAGCCTGCAATATCCACGAACGAATGTAATGTATATATTTAGCTCTATGTACAATACAGGTGTGGTTTTCAGTTGTATGATATGGATTCCTTCTCTAAGTAGCTTTGTAAAGTAAATTTAGTTATAATGAAAAAAGTAATTGATGCAACACTTATGTTAAAGATTCAACCTGAACAATGTAAGAGGTCAGCCAGAACAAAATCCAACGTTCAAACGCCATATATAATATCAGGCTAGAGAAATTTTAAAAGAGCAAGAAAAATATGAATATATTCAAAAACTGACCTTTCCCTCCTAAAAGTACAGTGAATATGGTCAAAAGGTTGGAAGCACCACTAAGTATCATAAAGAAAGCTTGTACATTTCTTCGTCCGAATTTCGATAGAAGTCCTATCGTTAATGCAATGGCAGGTAACTCGACAACCGCTAGCAGAAGAAATTTCAGATAAAAGTTTCCTCCAAGATTACTCATATGTATGGTCGTTCCAAAGAATATCTGTGAGACTGAAAACCTGTGAAAATAAAGATGAATTTTATTAGCTATAAATATTTTGAAACAAACTACATTAGAAAATGGCCCCCTTCGGGCAGAGGCAAAGAATTTATGCTTTAATGTTTTAGCTTTATTGTCTGTTGGTATGACATCGAATTCCCTTAGACATGTACCGTTTCCTTGTCGTGTTCAATGTCCTTATCATAAAAAACTATGAGTCATTACATCTACACATGATCCATCATTTTTCTGTACATTTTCATTGAAACTGATTCTCAACGTTAAGAAATGTCTAGACCAGATCCCTCTAAACAAAGGACTTATTTGGTTACCATGGAAACCAAGCGACATCTTATGTTTTGGAAGGTAGTACCATTATGATAACCATTCATATCATTATATTATTAATTTTAGCTAATTCGAAAAATATTTCTTTTTTACTCAAAATCTTCATCAAAGACTTCATTATTTTTCCATAAAAAATGGTTCTGGAAACACAAATTATAGCCTGTGAGAAGTTAACATAATTTGAATTTCATTAAATTAAGTTTCATTGAAATGATTCAATGACTGATGAGCTTTGTGCCATTACAAACAAAAACCCTGTGTATAGTGACCTGGTTACTTTGATGACAAGCTAAATCAAGTATTGTTTCATACAAAAATATATATACATGTGTGAGGAGGGTTTCGCTAATAGTCATAGTCATCTTCCCTACATGCTTGGAATGTGTCCTAACACCACTGGAGGTCCCAAAGTTGATGAGAGTTGGTGTGTACTACGATATTACTCCGGGAACCCTTCATACAAGATAACACAAACCATGTGCCTGTTTACATATATAGATAGGGACCATGCATTTGAATATGACATTCAAGAGTCATTAAGTAATTCTATGACTACATCGCAATGCTAACACACAAATTCTAACAAATTAATGAAAAAGCTTAGAGATCATATGAGGAAAACAATAATCAGAATAGAACATAAAAACGTATAACGAAAGTTTATCACTACACTAATCTATCATAAGTATCATTTTAACCTTCCCCGTAGTCGTTTTTTAGTGTACGGTTAATTTTAATACAATTCGTTTGTTTGGAATTTAAAAAAAAATGTGTGCATTGATATTCAATTAAGAAGTATTTGGCAATGTATTTGTTTTTTAAAGATTTTACGACTTTGTGAAAATACTTTATCTTAACAGGCCTCTTATTTAAGTTCAACAACTTAAGATATGTCAGTTTATCGAGACCTATTGTAACCAGCAGCCATTTTGTTTACTGGGGTCACGTCTATCTGTATTTCTGCACAGGTCGAATCACTGTAAATTCCAGTATAGTCCCATGCATTACAACTAAGCATCCTATTGACATATTGGCGAATGTAACACAGATTGTGCCTTGGAGATGAAATTTCACGATTATGTGAACATAATTAACACACGCAGGCAACTATACACATGCGATTGCTGTGTATATTTGCTACAACAGCTAATATACCACGTGTTTGAGGTCACTGACAGGATTGTGTGTCGAAGAAAATTTGAGAATGAGGGACCAGTATTACTTAATGTTATATAATTACATGTTCTGGATAAAAATATATGAGACCAGTTGATCGAATCCGAATTGTCTATATACAGAGAGTTAATGCATACATTTTACATACATTTCCTCTCTTTCATTTGAAAGTTGGAGCAAATTATATTTGGTGTCCCATTTCAGCACATTTTGGATTCAAGTAACACGAAATGACAAAGTAAGAATGACATATTTGTAAACCTTTTCGGACCGGCACCTAACTTAAGTTAAATAGTGTTATTACATGTATAGGGGAAGCGTTAATAACTCAATTATGTTATTACGTAATAAAGAGATCGAATTGTCAACATGCTTGAAAACCATTGAGAAGTAAATATGGTCATGTTGATTCTAGAATAGAAACACACATGCTTATATAAATAGATATATTAAGTTCTGTTTTAGCAGGTCCGAAGGACCGATGAACCTAGCAACCTCTTCCCGAGAAATTGTTACTAGTCATAAGTGGCAGGATCCCAAAACAATCCTACTTTGTCTAAAGCTTCCCTGGGTGTAGTGGAATCAATTTCATATAAATGGTGGCCTCAGTCACCTTTGGCGGAAGGGGCAGGGTCCAACAGAGGAAATAGAGCAAATTCTTTAAAATCATACTAATCCTGTAGGAATGACTGGATAGTGTTTTCATGATTCTGTGAAGGGGATAAATTTTGTATGAGCAATGAGTCTCGATCCCATAAAATTTGGCAGAATTTTTGGAAATGTAGCAAAATTTTATAAAATCCATTTATGTGGGAATGACCCGATTTTGTCCAGAGACCTGAAACACTTTCACTTAAAAGGTACCAAATTTGTATCAATCAAGAGACTGATGTAAGATATGTGGGGCAAAATAGGGGAAATTCAAGTGTTTAGAATCCTTCTTCATTAAGGGGATATTGTTTTGTCTGATACAATTTTCATCAACGGTGAATCTAACTTTTGTTTAACCACAAGGCCGGAGCCCAATAGGAAAATTATTCAAATCATTAGGGACCAAATAGCAGTGTTTGCAGTTTGCATTATTTAAGGATTATACATCATCGACAGGAAAGGTACTATCCTCCCTAACTAACATTCTTTTCTATATCTTAACCTTTTACTTTATATGTGAGAAGCAGTATAAGACTATCGAATTCTTACCAATTGAGAAATATGATACAAGTTCTCCACGCCAATGATTTCGAGGTAAACAACTGCCAGACCCGACCTGGCTTCACTTTCTCTATTTTGCTGAGGTCAATTTTTTCAGGATAGGGTTTCCTGTTTTTGGTAGCAACCTTCCTTAGAATAGTCTCTGCATCTTTATATTTTCCTTGGCTGATGAGCCACCGTGGTGATTCGGGTATAACCCTACAAGGCAAAGAAAATAAATCCAATTCCTTCCTCTACATTGTGAAACCCCATATTTGGATAAAGTATTGATGTATAAGATAATTGATAGCAAATTATACATGTAATGAATATTAATGATATATACTAGCGCAAACTAAACATCATCTGACTGCAATCGTTATGGAAATGAAATCACATCGGGAACACCTCCACGAATGACAGTTAATGGGAACTTATTTACGTTTTTTGTGGAATTATTTCAAATATATAATTTCCTAATTTTTTCAAACAACGGAAAAGTAAGCATTTATTTATTTATTATTAAAAAATCAATATGTCTTATTCATTTTTTTTTATTCTTTAGTGTCTTTACTTTACATGTGCTCTTGTTTCATACATATATATTTCTTACATTATAAATCTATTAAAAGACATTGATTGTATTATTTCATTTTCAAATCAGTGGTGTCAGAAGAAACTATTAGGAACATCATTTAATACCCTAGTACCTAGATATATTTAAAAGTTAATGTGAGAAACATACTATAATTTTACACAATGTAATGACGAAAATTGTTTAAAGACAAAACTGTCAAGAAATAGGATTATTGATTATTGTGGTCAATTCATTGAATGTTAGTATTACGGTGACCATGTCTTCACATTTGTTCTTAGTGTTATAGGAAAATGAAAGTAAATATGCACAAAACCTAATTGGCTTCTGAAAATCAAAGTCATGAAATAATGAACAGTTATCGTTTTCTAAACAATAAAATAGAAGAAAAAAGAAGATGCTTATAATTATCATCAATCGAATGACTCCATATTTGCATATTCACAATGTGTTTAAGTCATGTGTGGTTTGAGTTACATCATATATTCAGTATGTTAATATTTAGGGATACGCGTAACTTAACGAACTGATTGGTTCAAGCAATGCCAAAACAGCTGCTGTCTATCAAAATCAGTATCAATATATATACACACAGGTGTTGCTGGTTGCACTAACGTTAAAGTGAATAGAAATGATATTGATTATAATAATGATTTATGTTATACACTGTATTTCATCTGGAATTCGTTGGGGGTTTTTTTCTTCAAAAAGGAAAATTTATTTGATGCCCTGTGCTTTGAAGGCACACACGCAGAACATTGTATAATTTTTTTAATTGGTTTTCGTGTTTATCATCAAATACCGATACAGCGAATCAATGTTTTAAAATCGTCTTTCAGGAACATTAAAGCTATTTTTATAAAAAAAAAAAATAATCACCATTCATCTCTTACTGTTTGAAAATAAATGAATTGTTGATTTAAGGAAATGTAAAACTTAACAAATTACATACAAACTACATTATTGGTAACGTATTCGTTGCACTAAACCATCCGACTGAAAAACAATGATGAATTAGTATATATTTGAAAATATATCATTAAGTAACGATAATGATACAGAGTGTATGGTAATTATAACAAAAATGTTAATAACGCTGCAAAATAACCAATTCCCGCAAGCCTTTACCACTGACTCTGACTACAATGATTTATCAAATATATATCTTTCGATTTTTCTTCAATTCCATTGTGAGTATTTATTTGGTTCTTTTCATTTTCTGCAAACAAATATTTTACATACTCACAATTATCTTACCAGAATGGCAATCGGGTGATTTGGTTAGTTAGCAATGTTTTACAAAGATCATCTGAAACGAAAATTCAATCGTTGAAGCATGACATATCTTACCTGTTGAACCGATTACCTTGTATTTTTTAGATATATCCACGTGAGCTTGGCTAGCTCTCCTGGAGAACTTGCCCAGCGTCCGAAATAATTTCAGCTCAAACTCAGTGACACACATCGCCAAGATTTAAGAAGATAATGAAAGTATAACCCTCAATTAAGCACCGTCTGAAAACAATCTCTTGAAAATGAAATTAGCTCAAAATACTCGAAATCAGGACTTTAGTATCCATCTAAGTGCTAGAAATCCGTGGAAAGTCTAAATTTATATTTTGTTGTACTTTTTAGTTTGTGTCAGTATGATACCTGTTAAAAATATATACTCACAGGATAAAGAAACGCAGGGTAAACTTTGAATACGATTCTAGGCAAGACGTCGAGTATAATGTTCAATATTTAAAGTAAGTATAAAAATTAATCCATACAGAACACACTGCAAAATCAACGATTTGTATCTGGTAAGTGATTTAGGAGTAATTGAAGAATTGAAAGAGAACTCTGTAACCTGAAATCGAAATGGTCTGATTGTGGGAGCTGGCTATTCAATAGCGGTTATGTCCTCCACTCACTCCTCACAGCCCTGATTCGTCTAGGCATGGAGTTCATGAGTGAGTTTATCCTCCTCATTGGGATGTTGGCCCATTGTTCCGCGAGAGCTGCCGTCAGTTGGGCCAGAGTGACAGGGGATGGCTTGCGTCGTCGGACCTGTATCTCCAGCTGCTCCGAAAAGTGCTCAACAGGGGATAGGTCGGGGCTGTATGGCGCCAGTGCAGTGGATGGATATTGTTGTTAGTGAGAAAGTCGGGACAGATCCTCGCTACATGGGGCCGAGCATTATCCTGCTGGAATGTGGAGTTATTTGGTTGCCGACATGGGGTATCCTGCGCGCCACTGCCTCAGTTAACCTATCCGGGAAATTTCTCCATCACATCGGTAAACAAGGGGCATGTGCCGCCACCCAAGCCATGCGACACTGACGACGAGCAGCGATAAGGGGCTGACTTGCAAATGAATGACGTGCCGCAGACCAACTTCCCGCTTTCGTTTCCTTATGTTTACATGGATAGGAGGTTATGAGTACATATGGTATGAAGGGCAGATTCAGTGGCAGTAAGGTGCCGATTGTGCAAATGCGCGAGATGAATTAACCTGTCCTGACGTTGTGACATCACGCGCGGACGTCCAGGCATAGGTAGTCAGTAACCAGTTTACCTTAGACGGCTAACAAAACGTTCTATAGCGCAAAGATGGACACCGAAATGTCTGACAACCTGTATTTACATTTGAACATGCATAATCATCGCAGTGGTCTGACCTGTCTTAACTTCCGGTAGCCATTCTATTGTTTAATGTTATCAGAAATTAATCAAAATATCGGAAAATGTTGTGTCTCTATGAAGACTACCTAATGGTATGTCGAGCAGTGTTAATCAATGTCACAACACTGCTGTGCACGAGAGCTTTTCTCGTATCGTGCTTTCCCTTGGAGACATCGCCATGCATTGATATAATGCAACATCCGTTACAGGACCTCATGCACTGTAACCTAGAGAGTTGCTTGACCGATTTTCATTGTTTTGGAAGATATTGCAAATAATGTCACCCTGCGTTTCTTTATCCCTTGAGTTTGTATAAGTTGACTGACAAATGCTTTAGAAATCACATACCAATAATACTGGCGTCATTTTCTCCATGGCATCTTATTGTGCAATTCCTGCAAAATCTATAAAACTTCAATCAGACAAAAGTCTTGATATTGATATCAACTTTCATTGACTCCCACAGGAGTCTTGAATAAATTGACTGCTTTACAGGAAACGTGTCATGTAGATTTCTTTTCAACGGATTTCTATACGATAGATGTATCAATTATACAATTTACATTTTAACAAGGTCATTTGAAAACTGAAAGTCATTGGACCGATTTTATTATTTGGATCAAAATCTGATTCATAACCTGAAATTAGGATCACTAAGAATGGACTTTTTGAGATCTTACAATTCAATTTAACTGATATTTTGTAATTGTATTTTCATTTCATTTAGTTCATCGATCATAGATTGCATAATCAACAACTTTCAGATTAATCAAACACCTCTGCTTATTCGATATCTTCGAGTTTTATTCGAAACAATTGACAATATCTACATGTTTAACCATATTTGTGTGTATATGCTTGCACTTAAATCGCCAAAAGAAAATACCGACATGTTAACAGAATCTTGATTCAAACATAAATTAGATGGAACTTTGGCAAAATAATAAAAAATGTATTTACAAGGAGCCTCCTGAAATAGAGAGTAAGGTGAAGTCACGACACTTCCAGGAAATCAATGCTGGTCAATCTGAGTAAGTTAAATATAATTTACAGCCTCTTATTTGCAAGGTCTTAATATATCTATTTCTCATAATGTTGGTCAATATGAATAAATGAATTGTGTCTTACCCCCCTCCCCCCCTCTTTGAGTCTTCGAGTTCGATATAAAGAGGTTCGACTTTATCTCAATCTATTAGTCGTTGACCAGTATCCCACAATTCTCCATAAAAATGAGATCTTCAGTATATAAGGAACTAATATGTATGTTGAGATGTAATCAACCAAGCTATTTATAATTTTTAGCCCTTTGATTATCAGCATTTAACGGCGATACACTTCCCTTTGAAATACTTTTAACTGGTTATTTATCAGCAACATACCATAAAATGTTTGATGAAAGTGTATACACGTTAAACTTCTATGGAAATACTGTAGATTTATACCTTTTTGCTGACTTTTAATAATTGACTAACCAAAATTTAAATGTATGAAAGTAGCGTTTTGTAATCAGTCTATGTTGCACTGCAAATACCACCTCATAAAAACGGATCTGAAGTTGTTATAAAAATAAGATATGCTACATATACCAGTTTTAGATTAATCGATTTATTAATTTTCTGTTTAGTATTGTCAATTATTTTGAATTCACTTAAAGGCGTGTCAGCCATTGCAGTGATTATAAGTAATTACAGGTTTATGTCAAAGAAAAAATAATCTCCGAAGTCATGCGCCGTAATATTATTGGAAAAAACCTGGAAAATTTAATTACTGTGTAGCTCAAAATATTTAGCATTCACACCGCTGTTAAGTTACAAAAAAATACCAAAATCACTGAAAAACGAAAAACAAAGTAAACGGGGGTCATAATTTGTGCAACATGGCTGTAATTAGGTGGTAGTCTTATTATCGCTGCAATGGACGATTCTCTGGAATAATGTGTTAATATAATTGATATATAAAGTATACACATGTATGTCCTGAAGTTGAAGTATGACCAGCAGATACATACCAATACAGACATACGTGCACCACACACGGCACTGCCACTACCAACTGAATAGTCTTCCAATTACGTAAGATGAATCCAGCTCCAGTCAGGTAAAGTAAACCAACAGGAAAGAACAGATGGATCAAAACCCCCGCCCACATTCTCTTACTGGGACCTGTAAGTTCTATACCTGTAAACAGTGAAACAGAATTTCTCATAAATGCCGAAATGCGAGTCTAATGTACTACAGAAACCATCGGTAGATAATATCACACATTTGTAACAATATCAAAATAATTCAAATTATATATATATTTTTTGTTTCCAAAGTTTGCCATAACCTGCTTGCCAGGTTTTAATACATTCGATTTGTGCAGCGGTTTAAAAATTAACAAAAATCCATGGGCTATTGCATCTGTTGATAGTGACTTTTCTTCCGATCACTTTGTATTTTCCTCAGTCGCCAAAAGTCGTTTAAAAAATCGCTTTAAAATGTCACTTAGCATCCATGACGAGTCCTAGATGGACGAAACCGGTTTTGATGCAGTTTAATTCCTTATTTGTCTCTGCTGAGTTTAACTCTAAATTTGTACTAAAACGTACTATTGACTTGTGCATCTTTCAGACGACCTTCTCGATATTGTTTTCGTAATGACATGATTTCAGTGTGGACGTTCATTTGTGTTTTTGTAGCATCTAATCGTCCTCATCTTTTCAATTTAGTGATACTTCTTTTCTACCTTCAGCAATTATTGTGAGCAATTGATGAATTTATATCACGAAAATTGCTATTCTTGGACACTTACAGCACTACATTTTTGCGTCTCGTTTGCTACATCTTGTGACAACATTCCTAATGCATTTGTAAAACAGTTACATACCCATGACACAGACAAGGATGAAGAGACCATGGTTAGATGCCCCAACCAGGAACTCCAAAACAGTGAAGCTGTAAAATTCCGGCGCAAACGCAGTCGATACGGATGATATTAGAAGACAGATCGAGCACAAGAGTATGGTCTTTCGTCTACCGATACTGAAATCAGTAATCGACAGTTTGTACTGATATGATGAAGGTAGTTTGTGTTGACAATGGAAACTAAATACGGTAGTTAATGAGACTGGATCTGCCGGCTATCTGAATCAGAACTGATATTTCAAAGAAATTACACAACAAGATATACAATTTACTTGAGAAACGGTTATGTGGTAATGTTTAATTGGGCGATTGATTATCAATGATTTAATAACACATATTCCTTATCATGTAAATATGCGTAAACATTGTTTTAGTAACATATAGAATTTGATATATAGTAAAACGCGGAACTAACTTAAGAGTAGTAAATATACCTAGGTCCGTATCTCCCATGGAGAAATGTTATAACTATTTGTTTATTTAGTACTTTATCTTTATGGTAGATAGTGTATGTTGTTATGTAATATTATGATAATATACAATGTATCTGTTATGGAAATATATTCTCGTACTCATAAAATCTTGTATGTGCTTATATAAACGAAATACTATATGATGTCACATCGTCTCATTGTTCTATATGTAAATGTATCTCTGTTTGCAAAGATGTTCATAATTCTTTAATTTACATAATTACGAAATCATTTTATTAAGCTGATGTGTAATATTACTAATACGAAATATTACATTGTATTGATATGTACTATCATCATCACACCAACATTTACTAATATAGATATAACGGCGTACAGATAATTTATAAAAATATTTTATGAAACATTGATACAATATCCTTTACTAAATACATAAAACTTTGATTGAATTACCGTATTGATAATATTTTAATATTTGTGAATAGATACAGGTAACATAATAATTATCGAAACACTGAAAATATGTTTTCGAATCATCATAAGACACACCTGTCTGATAGCATGCCAAAAAACAAATCTCCTACAAGGACGCCACAATAATACACCATCTGGGCATGCGCCGGTTTCATCTCGTCAGAACACACTAGGTTTTCCTGAAATAAATGTTGATAAACATATAAGTCACAAATAATACCTGCGCCCTATACCTTTTCCACTATTTTTTTAAATTCAACATGTTCTGACGAAAGTGGAATATTTTATGTAATGCTATAATATAATAAAACATAATGTATTATTTCATAATATCTATACTTGTATTATAAATTTGATATAATATGATGTAATATGATGCCATTAATAGGAAATAAAAAATAAAATATTTAAACTTTCAGGTAAATTAATAAATAACAATTTGGAGAAAAGCGAAGCACATTGATTAGTTTAGGAAATGATTTCTAATGTTTAAATTAAAATTAAAACAAACACATTATTACTCTTCCAAAATAAATGATCTTATTCTCCATGTGCTGTTTCAGGAGTCTTAGTGTAAATATTTCTTTTGTGTATATGATGCCTTGTTTTATTGAATTTGAGTTTGAAGTATGAATTATAATTATGTACAAGTGGTATTTTCTTGTTTTTGACAGTTTAAAGTAACAGATATACAAAACGATGTCCTGTTGAGATTCAACTAATATAGAATAAGCTATCATACTTTGTTCACTGTATCCAATCCAAATGATTTCAATATGTTGAATATGAACTTCAAGAACACTTATGATAAAATCGGGATGTCTTACAACAGTGTGGTTTTTGTCTAAACAAGAATGAAATTTTGGCCTACACATCTTTCGTTCTTTTTAACATACTTGCACTTAGGTTTTGTTCAAACAAGAATGAAAGCTCGGTCAACCTATCTCAAAATAATGTTTACACATACCAGTACGTTAATGTAATGACAAAGTTAACAGAGTGCAGCACAATATATAGATATTCTAATCGTGTAGTATTTACTTCTGATATATTCTGACAAGAACACTTTTACGCGCCTAGCCTCAGTAAAATACAGATAAATACAAATTTAAAGGTCCTGCGCTATGTGTAAAATTTAAAGATTATGTGATAAAGGTTTTCCGTCACAAAGGCGCTTTCAAATATTACTTTCGAGTCGCTTTGTACTCCGATAAAAATATTTAAATGGACATGATGTCCTTTATGGCCATGTATCGCATATGACATTTCACACGTTAAGCAAAGGTGAAATGATCCAATGATCGGGCACAAGAACAAAATGCGAATAGCACCCAAAATTAGTACATAACCTGATAATAAGGTGTTTGAGGAAAATAAAAAATCCGAAATAAAGATAATTAGGTAACATGATATCATAAATGAAAACTCAGGCCATAAGAGATATATGCCTTGTTACTAGCTTAGATTTCCGATTGGAATTTGGAATATGTCACCTTTATGGAAAGTATCTTGCATGGTAATAATTTTATTATGTAAATATATTTTTTTCAATAGCATTAGTGTTCCTTTGAATATAATCACCCGTGTAACCACAGTCTCGTCAAATGTATCTTGTTCATACACCCATTTAGAACACTTCGCTGTCATGACTGATGACGAGTTTCCGGTTCCTGTCTCAGTATACACGTGACATCTATCGTAATCGTAAAAAGGGTCGTCCGGGGCGGGGATGGTTCGGTTAATGAGACTGGAATGGTAGCTGCTCTGTACAGCCCATGTGTCGTTATCATACCCCGGTATTTTGCACCTGTAACGTAGTGTTAATATTTAATAAGTGTTTCATTAATGCTTCATTTGATCAATAAAAAACTTCTTATTAGGGTTAATTGATTTTTTTATTCCAATTGATAGAAAATTCTACTAAACTGAGTTCATACATGTATCAATATTAAGAAAACGTCTGAAGCAGGTAAGAAATGCACATTTACATCTAAATTAAAAAAAAGAAGTCGGAAGTAAGTAAATACCTGGAATATGAGACATGTACTTAGTAAATATTAAAATGGTGATTGTGTACGCTTCTGACATATATTGATTTCAGAAAAATGGAAACATAAGGTAACTACTATACATGAATTGTTATTTGTGTGGAACCCGTGGCTGATATATTTGTAGAAGATGTAGTTCTTGGTTCATACTCCAGTGACTGACCAGCACGTGCAACTTATTATCTCTATCACGTGTACAGTGAATGAGCAGCATGCCATCTGATTAGGACGTCAATGCCTGATCAGTTGGTGGAGCCTCTGAGCTCTACAGATTGGGGCGCCAATTTGAACAATCACTTTGCTTTCCTGAAGGGAACTCCACTTGTGAAAGGAGCTTGAATAAAGTGGTAAAATGCGCTATATTGCATTATAAAACAGAGGCTGTAATGAATATTAGTCATTGACTTATGTAGTGACTGATTCTAAAATATAGATACGTACCTGTGCTTCGGAGTATAGGCTAGCAGAACTATCGCCATCATGTAACACCCATTGCTTATGGAAGGCAAGCACAACAGCATGAACAAGAAGACTTGATACCTTCCGAACTCCCCTATCCGTTTTAGGACATCCTCGAGGTTAGACATCGTCCACCAATACACTGAAATGCAAGTTTTCTCTGCGTGAAATTCACGTGTTTTGCTTTGTGTAAACGATGTCCAATTAAACACAAAACAGAATATTCAAGCAAACATCATAACAAAATTGTCCGATGAAAACGTTGCGTTCTTAATCAACACTCACGATAACATCAGATTAAAGCGATGTCAACTTTCAACAGCAGACCTATTTTAAAACAAAGGGAAATAATTGAATACGTAGATTTCAGTATACTTTGTAGTAGCAAGTTTTAATGATCGCGAGTTTCTTGACATGTGTATACTTCTACTACAATCACCTGGCTTGTCCACTAAAACACCCTTAGGTCATCCAGTGTTTTAACTATATTTACTGTAATTTTACCAGTACATATCATACAGGACAGCTCATACTAGAAGCGTTACTATTCTCTTGAAAGTTATTTCAACGGAATGATGATTTAATGATAATAAAACACGAAAAACTATTTGTAAGACAGACATGCAACTATTAGAAAGTGTTATCTTAGAGCACCACGTAACTATATTGTTGGTGCAAGGTGAAATGGACAACACAATTTTATCCTTTAGGGTTATGACGTAATAACTACTCACGCTAGAACGACACTCTTCATTCTCATCGAGACGTACAATTGACGAAGAAATGATAGCTGTATCAACACAGTGCTTCAGTGAAGCTACTTTGAACCTAATTTAGTAGATAAACATTTCTGGTTTTGTTACATTCGGTCTACTCCTCAGTAAACATTTATAGGTTCTTCCATTTGTAAACCTTTTGTGTTAAACCTGGACACTTGGTTTCCACCTTCATTTGATCAAATTACAAAGAAAACATGTCAATGTACAGGTCGTTAATTTAGCCCTTAAAATGTAACAACCTTCCACTTGCTTATCATATTAGTATATCTGGTATGCTCACATTCTCTCAGCATTCTCTCGTTTACATGTCGATGGTATGAAAAAACTTGGAATTATTCAGATTTCACACTTTTTTAAAAAAAAAACATTTTTGATTTTCAACTTCAACAACTTAAGATGTTCAGACAACAGATTAAAAGAAAGTCAATTGTGTCTTAGAAGATACACCGCGGGCTTTACATGATTGTAACACAGATTTGGAAAAAGCGAGCATATTGTAAATAATAAAAACATGATTAGGTCTAATGTCTTATGGCTTAGTACACACAAAACGTTTTTCAACCAGAAGGTTGGCATAAACTACTGTGTTTGTAAACCAGGTCACAATTAGCCATTCCCATTGATAATTCATGTTTTAAATAGCGACATATCTCGACAGTGTTCACATCCTTGACACGTGTTCTTCACGTGAACCACACATGTTCACTTTCCTTCTCCGTCAAGGAGTGGTTGATTTCCATTCCAAGACAGATACTGTCAAATGAAAACTTTATGAATATTCATAATTCTTGCACTTCGTATACCATAATGATATTTTAAAGATAAATTGACTATTTTGGTTCCCTATGCAGAGTTTGACAGGGACTTCCAAAAATACCTTGTGCGATTTTTGAGTCCTTTTCTATATTAAGTGTCCTTATCTTAATTATGTGTAACCAAACATGAAGACGTTTTTAAGATGTATTTTTGTCGATGTAAAATAAGCCTCAGGTTTGAAAACATTGTATTGTTTATTTCGGGTGCTAGGTTCTAAACAACAGATAATGTTACACCTTATTCGTGTACGCAAACAAAGATATAATGCCAAATTTAAACTTAAATGTTTTATCCACATAAAAACGACACCAATATATTTTTTGTTGGTTTTTTTTTCTTTTGCTTTTAAATACAATGTATAGAATTCTTATATCAGTTTGTAAAACAGGCACATGTATAACAAAGAAATGAATCTTTTAACTCAAATACTTCAATGAAAATTTGATCCTACATCTGAAATCACTCTTCCTCTCACAAGTAGAACATGTAATACTGGTTGTGTGTGCAACATGTCAGGCTATATGTTATGTATGTTTAGGTTAAACATAAATCTATCTATCGATTGGTGTATTCATATATTTCAATCTATATCGTGATTTATATACATAATTGTGCAAATGGAATGGTAGATAATTGATGATGCAAGCCTTCCCATGAGAGGAAAACGGTGCGAAACGGTTAATCAACCCTGGCGGCCTCTTCAAATATTAAACATGTACATATTGATATAATTTGATAAGTATAAATATGTATCTATAACAGCTAAAGATGAAGAAATATATATGTATATATATATATAAATGGATAAATCAGTTTAAGGTTTAAAAAATTAAGTAATATTTTTCTTAGCAATGTTGATATAAAATAATATTTCGGATTTATTTTGCCAGAAGATAAAACAAACGTAAATAGATATTTATCTTAGAGATAAATGTCATCATGTGTTTGTCCATTTTGTTGTGAGTAGTTCACCACTTCATCTACATATGAGATATATTTTATGTGACATTCAACTGATATCAAACGATCAAAAAGTGACATATAAGATATAAATGACATGAAATAAATCACTCCAGAGACATTAATATGACAAAAACAAAATAATTAAGTGTCAGGTATATTACGAAACTGGCCCTTTTCTACAGCACTTCGCTAACCTCACAGGGCAGATTGAATATATAAGTAGTTAAAATACGTTCATTGAAGAATTAATAATCATAATCACAAAGTTATAGTTTTATGAAAGGTTTTGTTGGGTAAAGGTTATCTAAGGATTTCTACGTCTTGTTTTATTGGATTATTGGTTTCTGTGATACTGTACTTTGCGTTATATTTGTTACACTAGCTCCTTTGGTACAACATGAGTCTGTATGTTTGTGGTCGTTTGTTTTCGTAATTTTGTAGTGGTGTCTTTCTCCTCCAAGCACAATCGGTTACGATCACTAACGATCTGTGCAGTGATAAAATTGATCCTTATCCCTGGAGTTTTGAGGAAAATATTTAGTATTATTATTTCAGTAGGTTTTGTGTGGTCATGTGGTATCGTCGTTTTTTGGCCAATTGTAGTGTCTGTCATACTACACATATCCTATAGTATCGTACTATCTATTCTATTGTACTTTCTGGAGTATCATAGTTTCTATAGTTAAGTACTTTATATAGTATTTCACTATGTATATTATCGAATATTTCTATAGTAAAGTTCTGCCTTTTGTATCGTACTTTCTATAGTATTGCACTATGTATATTATCGAATATTTCTATAGTAAAGTTCTGCCTTTTGTATCGTACTTTCTATAGTATTGCATTATGTATATTATCGAATATTTCTAAAGTAAAGTTCTGCCTTTTGTATCGCACTTTCTATAGTATGGTATTTTCTATAGTGTTATAGTTTCTACGTTTTCATCAATGTATCGCGAGGATGGCCTTCAGCTAGTGCTAGAAGTAACTGTCAGCTGTAGATAAGTAGGTAGGCTGTTGTATGCTGGTGTTGTTTGAAGTGTATAACTATCAATTGCACTACATGTAGGTCATATTCTGCCATGTGTACTGCATTTAACCAAGCAACTGATAAGGTCTCCACGTGGACTAGTAATGACTTAATATTCAGTTGTTGCATTGGACATCAGATCGACATATGACATAATGGGACAGGTCTTGACAAAATGGTATAAAACACGCTTATGTTAATAATTCAATTCAAATACCTACATCAATTCATTTCGAGTGATAAAAAAACCCATTTTACTAATATATCCATAAAGTGAAAATGTCTTTGGCACTTTCTGTATGTTTTTGTCGAATGGTGTAAGTAACTTAAATTTAGATAAAGGCAACAGCTGCTTTTACCGTCGATGAAAGGGATACATTTTGTGCGTTCCGCAATACAACATCCTAAAACTCAGTTCATGCCGGAAAAAAGTTTGAAATATCAATGTGGATAACTTGGGCCACACACAATGAAGCCGTATTATTCAATCTGTTAATGCATCATTATAATCATCATACAATTTCTTAAGTCACGAAAATTTAAACGGTGTGAAAACACGTGATACATGATAGGTGATCAGATTTCTGATACAGGCTACTTCACTGCGAATTTAGCGACATGCTCAAGCGAACTGGGATCTGTTGACAAAGTGGGGTACACCACGGGTCAATCGGTGTCCCACTGATTTTTAACATTTTAACTTATGATATTTATATTAAACTTATAACCTGTACCATTATGCAAATGACTGTACACTCTCATTCACCAGTAATGACCATGTATGCCTGTCAACAACAGCAGGAAAAGAGAGTCAGAGCACAGGAAATTGGATCAGTTGTAACGGAAGCCCGATAATATATTGGCTACCTGTTTCTGCATGAAAACAAAACTAATTATTCCTTCAACATTGCCACTCACGAAATTTAAGTTCTATTAAAATTCTGGATGTTGACATCGACTCTGATTTGAATTTTGTTTACACATATAAAGCACATGCAAAAAACCTTCGAACTGACTGTTACCTACAAAATCACTAATTCTAAATACATACTAAAGCCCTCTAGTAGGGTGCTGTATTATACGATACTGGAAAACTAGCGAAGATATATGAAAGGACAACCAGATTTATAGAGAATGATTTAACTACTCCTCTACATACGACAGCTCTTTAGTAGGGTGCTGTATTATACGATACTGGAAAACTAGAGAAGATATATGAAAGGACAACCAGATTTATAGAGAAGGGCAACCAGATTTATAGCAAAGGGCAACCAGATTTATAGAGAATGATTTTACTACTCCTCAATTCTTTTAAAAAGAAAAAAGATTGTTTTTTCCTTCATGTTAGATGCCTAAAACGTATGGCTGTAAACGTGTTAAAATATCTGTAGATAATGTTTCTCAAGAAACACTTTTTTAAAAATAAAATGTTAACTGCCGGTGAACGGTAGGGGTCAAAGTTTACATTTGAAATTTTCTGGAACAGACTTTTAAAAACTCCAAATTATACAAGACCAACAGGCAAGATATTTTGCAAATG